GATTGATTGATTGATTGATTGATTGATTGGTTGATTGGTGGGGGATGGGTCGCCCCTCCCACCCCCACCGAATCAGACACACACACACACACACACACACACACACACACACACACACACACACACACACACTTCAGCGCCCCTTCCCTATTCGTCTTCCTCTTCTTCTCCTTTTTTCTGACTATTCTTTGTTTTGCCTTTTGCTTCCTCCCCGTTTGAAGCACTTGGGCACCCCTGGTATGAGTTGAGTGCCTTATCATTTGTGTGGGCAAATGGGGTTCTGTAAAAGCACCCTTTTCATTGCAATATAGTGAGTATTGAGATAAGGTGTCGTCTGAGCAATAAATAATTTTCCTCACTTCCCTTCTATGGAAATAATATACTGTGAAAAAGGGACTGATGATCTTCTTCTTCTTTGGGACTACGGTGCATCGAACAAAGTTTTGCAACTTGCCATGACTATACTCGTGGGGGTTTAGTATCATATCTACACAGTCATAGGGCACTTACGCCCGCCCGTTTGCCAGCAGGGAGGTCGACTCCCCCCTGTCGAGTTGTATACASTTGTTCGATGGGAAAGGTCCCCCAAAAAATGAGATGCTYAGTTTTGGAATGGTATTCTCCTTTGAAGGGTTTGAGGATGTATAGCTAATTGTGTTTCCCGCCTATACTATCGTGCTCACTATTCTTTATTGTTTGCTGTGTGACAGAAACCCATCTTCTCGCCGAATGGATGGTACTCTKAGCTCATTCAGGGGGAGCAGGCGTGGMTGGGGCAATTTGATCCGCCGTCCCRCCCTGCTCAGGCGCTGATCTCCCTCGCGCATCCGAGGGTCACGGATTTCGTCAGAATGAATTCTCTCCACGTCCCTCTCCCCCATCCCCCACTGATTTCCGTGCTTACGTTTAATGACTGGGCTGATATTATTTGGGCCTCCACGTATGATAAAGATGCCTTCCCGCAGATGTCTAGGGATTACGTGTTAGGAGCTAAGGAGATTGTGGCGGAAGATCTGCTTGTTGAAGCCTTGATTAGGGATAAGGTGTTGATGAAGGAGAGAGTTTTCGTAGACTTGTGGAATGTGGTTTCGGAGTTCCATGCTGAACTTCTTCTCCCCTCTCCTTTGGAGCCCCATGCCTCAGAACCAGACTCCGATGAGGAGGATGGCCTGTCGCTCACTGAGGAGGAGAAAGCTTTTCATGCTCAATTCGTAGCGGAATCGAGTGCTCAACTTGCTGTTGGTTTGGCGAAGGAGAAAACGAGGGATGTCAACAAATTCCTCCGAAATGCTTTTCTCCCAATTGCTCCGCCGAGATGGATTGAATCTGAGGCAAAAGCAAAGGGTGACAAGATATGGGATTTTGATACCTTCAACCATGTGGCTCCTATTAGTACTAACGCGTATAGACTGTTGRCTTCTCTCACGRAAGAGGAAGTGYTTYTTTGTCATGAGCGAGCACTTAATGAGAACACAGAGGTGATTAAGGGACCGTATCCACGAATGGCGGATGCCATGAAACTCCCGACGGTTGGGCATTTTGACCCCCTGAAGTGCACTGCGTCCCCCACGACCCTTGCGATCAGAGGTTTCTATCCTCCCAAGGGACAGACTGCATTAGCGGAGTTGAAGAGAATATGGAATGTAGGTAGACCGTATCTGAAATGCCGATGTGTGGAATTGGGGAAAGGGGATTGTAAGACTAACATCACGTGGTTTGACCATGTGCTCTGGTACATGCTGTCCAATCCCGATCTCATGTTCCCTGCAGCTCCGACTCTTTTTGCTAAGATGAGGGCGATGAGGACATTTTTGAAGAAGACTTGGCGGACGCCCATCCTGGCCAGTGTGGTCTTCTCCCACATGCGGGAGATCATGGTAAAAATGGCACATGCTATGGTTGCGAACCCTGTCGTGCGTCAGGAAAGGGTACTTGATGATGTGACCCTCATGTCGAGGAAGTTTCCAAAGAAGATGGCGTCACTGCTGCTACCTGATCGTTACCTCAACAGTCCTGCTAAGCGCAAGAGACCCCTTGCCCAGGAAGTTCATGCAGCGAAGCGTCCCAATAGGACAATCCTGTCTTATTACGTCAGACCGCAGCAAGACCTACCGGTAGATGGTGATGAGCACCATCCTGAGTACATCGCGTCCCTTGCTGTTGCTGAAACCCCCCCAGATTCTTCAGTGTCCTTCCAAGCGGACACTGTGAATTCTGCGTCCAGCAAACAGCCGTTGAGGCACTTCAGGGCTGTTGTACCAGGGAGGGTGTTGTTCCGTTCTTAATTGGATAGTCAGGAGGGGTGAAGGACGTATGTCCCTGTATATAGACATTACTGTTTTTTGTGCTAGTGTTTCCTGATTGTGATGTGATTAATGTGTGATATGCAGGGAATGATGGATGATGAGGGCAGAATGATTGTTGACGAGACGGGCAGGAATAATTGGACTAGTGCCCCATCGCCACGTGTGGAGCTGTATGTCCATACTAAGTATGAGAACAGGGCAATGGAGGTTGTCCGATTCAGATCCATTATTGAGATGGCTTTCGAACGTTTTTTCCTGCCGGCTGCGATTATCCTCCTCGCAACTATAGTCTTGGGATGGGCTTACCATGAGTCGCTTGATTCTCTTCTGTAAAGGCCATCTTCGGTCTTCAGGGACTTTGTTTTGGAAGAATGGCTCGATTTCTGTATTAACAGGCCTATTTGTCCTTGTGTATCAAACCGTTTCGGTCGTTTTCATAATCGTGAGACTGCCAATATGGCTCAACCATTCTCTACCCCTTCTCAGCATGTATTCACAATGGATTGTTCTATTTCTCAAAATCAGCAGTTGGCCTGCTTACTCTCCCAGGGGTTAAACCACATTCCCCTGTGCCCACGCTCTGCCCTTCGAGCAATCCAGGCCTTTCTTGCTTCTTGGGATCTCATTGTTCAGCATATGCTTGGAAGGATGTTCATCCCTCCCCCAGCAGTCAGACTGGCCACTGCTTTTGTCAAAAAGCAACTTGACCTGCATATCGCTGGACTTGGCCTCAGACGTCACTCAGACCCCCCATGTTTGTTGGACACCAGTTCAATAAGAGCTGAAATTACGTTCTTAACCAAAAATTTGTTCGTGTCAGGAACGGATAAAGCTGCTAACACTCCTTCCTTTTCTTGCATACACTTGGTCATAAGACTTGCCTTGGATAGGTTATCTTGAGGTGACTTTGTAAGGACGAACCTTAGCAATGCTGAGATCTTGTGTGAGGCCGAAGAGTCTTTAACTCATATTTCGCCAGCTATCAAGCTTGGTTCTGAAAAAACCCCCTACCTTATGGCCTTATATAAGCATCATAAAAAGACGTACAGATGGCTAACCAATGCTGCTGTAACTTTCCTCACCCCGGTTGCTTCGCTCTGTGACGAGGTAATTAAAACCCTAATCCCCCTCGTCAAAACTCGTTGCAAGGAGGTCACTGACGAGCTTCGCACTTTTCATGGAGTGGAGACGATTGTCTGGTGGACCATTGACTCAGTTCATGATTATTGTTACAATCTTCCGAAAAGGGTTTTTACGGTCTTTTCAGGGGATATCACCAGATGCTTTGAAACTATCCCCATTGGTTCTAATGAAGATAGTCTCCCAGCTGCCCTTAAGTTCTTCGTAAATATTGCTTGGAAGATTGCTGAAGCAAAGAGAATTGGATCAGTAATGAAGTGCAAAACCTTAAAGAACGGAAGATTTGAATGTGCAATGACCAACAAAATTACTAATAATAGTCGCTCCATGATCTTCTTAAAAAAGGATGAGGTGATCCAGTTAATTAAATGGATTCTCTGTAGATGCTACACGTCGTTTGGGGGTGTGATTTGGAAGCAAATCAAAGGTATCCCTACGGGATTACCATGTTCTCCCTCTCTCTGCAACTTATATTTTTTTAAGTATGAGTATCAACTCATCATGCGCATAGTCCGAAACACCTACAGGTATATAGATGACTTGCATAGTCTCAACAATCCATTCATTCTCAAATTTCTGGATCCTGACCAACCAAGGGTGGACTCCAACATCTTCCACATTTACCCCATGCACTTGATTAATATCAAAAACCAAACTGAGGTATTTGAGAAAAATGAATCTGGCGAGCTGTATGGCCTTAAAACACAGTTCCTTAATTCCGGAAGGAGATCTTGCAATTGGTCAGGGATATGGTAAACAATTGTTTTCTTCTCAGAAAATGCCTTGCCTATGCCTTTAGAGTCCTTAACTCGCCTTCTTCGTACATGCTCCCCAGAACAGATGTTCAGAGGACTGCATCAAGACTCAAGGTATGTAAGGAGGCTTTACCTATCTGACGGGCTTTGCGTATATTGGTGCTTTCTGTCTGTGTGMTGTTAACTTACCAGTCCCGACCGGCAGGGCTGTTATGGTTGCTGGCTGGTACCTTGCCTGATTAAGGCAGGTACCAGTTATCTGCCTTAACAGGCTTAGGTCAGCCAAGCGGGGCAGGGGCGGGGCACACACACACACACACACACACACACACATACGCATAATCCATAAATATATGTACCCCTATATATCTAGCTGGATAGATAACTGAGTTAATCAACAAATGATTAAATAATGAAAGCCTATATAAAGGATAGAATCTATTATGTTAAAAAATATCGGGGAAAGTCCACTTATGCACCCTTTTGCTCTGATCAGGCCTGTTGCCCAGATGCATGTCTCTAATCCTTTTCCTCTGGTACCTAGGGCTGACCTTTAGAATCACAGGTGAAGTAGGCCTGGTTTTGGTTATGGGATTCCTTGGCAACATATATATATATATATTTTAGCTGCAGCTGGTTGAATTGAGCCCCGTGGCGAAAGGAATTGGCCATTCATTGTGCAAATTCTATATGCCATGAAAATTGGAGGCTACCATGCAGGTTTTTCTTGGATGAGGTACCCTGTTGCTTATGGGCTTACCTCAGGCGAACCCCTCTGTTTCTGTAAGGAGTAATGCTTACCCCTTCGAAAGATAGGCGCGAATTTGTTAGTGACATTGAACGCACCACAATTGAAAATACGAATTGTGGGCGACGGTCTGTGTATTTATTGGAGTTGCTCTGAGTGGTTAGGCCCTCTCTCATCACTGGACTTGGGCGGCGGTTCCGATGATTATCATCCCGCTGTCCAGGATTCCGCTGATGCGGCTTGGTTTACGAGCTCATCATTGCTCCAGCACGTCATTGAGGGTCCCCACGCCATCGTTCCTGATCTCCATCCCTCTGGCTTGCTCTCTCCCTCTCCCTCTCTCTCTCTCCCTCTCTCTCCCGCTCTTTCTCTCTCTCTCCCTCTCTCTTTCCATCTCTCTCTCTCCCTCTCCTTCGTTCTGTCCGCCCTAACCTCGTCTCTTTCCTCCTTCCCTGCGCACCGATACTCTACCTGCTTTCTCTTTGTTTTTTCCCCCTTGCATCCTATCTTTTCTGCGGACTACTTGTGCGATCACGAGGTTTTTGATTACATTCCCTCTTTGCTTGCTCGACGGACTGCAAACATGAGTGGAGCATCGGCCTCTTCGACGGCGCACTCTACGGTAATATGGAAAAGTGCTAAGAATCATCATGCCCACCACCCACCCCCTCCCCCTCCCCGTGTCGTGCATTGATTGGATGTGCTCGTGGAAATCTAGTCCCATTCGGAGCGCTAACGAAGGGTTTTTTTGTTCCCCTGATGAGCCAACCATTGTGAAAGTTGGCGAAAAGGCCTTTGGGAGTCTCCACTACCCCCTTCTGTTGCACCAACATATGAGGAGCTGCTTGACCGGATCGGGATGCTGATTCATTCCCGTCTTCTTCCATTTTTGTTGTAGATGATTGATGCTACCTGACCATTTTTGCGCCAAAACATCCTCCTTGCTTCTGCGTGTTGTTCGTTTTCTAGGAACTTGTTGCTACTTCTGAATTATCTTGAAGATATAGAAGGAGCTATATTTGTTCTTGGCATCGTCGTCGTCTGCGCGATATTGCTTGGATACCTAGCCTTCATTTCCCATCTAGAAGATTCTCGTATCCGGGCTTACTGCTGTCACCTTCTGATACAAAATTGCTCTGTTGCTATTGGGAGTCGGGGGAGGTGCTTGATCTAAGAATGGCGGGGTTAATGTTTCGAGTTGGAGCTCGTGCACGGGGAATGATAGTAATGGCCTTTGTTGTTTTCGTAGCGTCCTTGCTGGTTCTACTACTTTTGATGAAGGCCGAACGTTGTAGTAATAAGGATGAGGTGTGCTGGAAGAACGCTCCTCGCATCTATGTGGGTGTTGATAGCATAGCCCTGATCGTGTCTTTCCTGGCTTTTTTGATGGTAATCGTGGTGCTTCTCGTGATTGGGGGGGAACGGGCTCCATGTCGCTATTGTGGCGAGTATGGGTGAAAATTTGGACGACCGCCTACTTGTTTTGTGAGGAGAAGAATCAGGGATGGGATTGTTAGCAGGCGTGCACTGCATGATGTGGATGAGAGGAGGGGCGGTGTAACGAGAGGGCTTTTAAAACCTATGTCTGGATTTCCAGCTTTGGCCCTGCTTTTGTGTTCTCGCTTCATAGCTTAGGGTGTGCTGACCTGGATTAATGATGCATGCATAGTCCGGAATCTTGATCGAAAAGCTCGCTCTTTTGAAGAGAGTCTGGGTTGCTACGCGGCAGGCAATGGCTTATGCTTATGGATAGGTGAAAAGCTATTGTGGTAAGGAGGTGCTTCAAAGAAGTTTTGTGAATAAAGTTTTATAGGATTTACAATCCTGATTGCATCCTTTTGTACGGGTGGAGGCAGTGATTGGAGGTATTAGATGTGAGTTGTTCATCGGATGGTAACAATTCCTAATGGATGCGCAACTTATTGCGTTCCTTCGCTGCTTCTTTGAGGAAGATAGTGTCTATTTTGTTGCGGGAAGTTGTGACGCTTTTATGAATGCGATGATGCTTTCAAGATGTGATTTATCCCAGAAATTGTTTGAATTCGCTTAAAATATTCTGGCGATTCTTTTTCATCGTTTCTCCCCCTCTCTTCCCTCTTCTTCCTTTTCGTATTCCTTACCTTTGTTATATACGCTTCCACTCCTCTACCTCATGATCGTCTCTTCTCTCACCCCCCCGCTCTCCCTCCTCTCCTTGCCCTCTTCTTACTCCTTTCTCCTGAATGCATCTCCCTCTTCAGCACCCCTTCCCTATTCGTCTTCCTCTTCTTCTCCTTTTTTCTGACTATTCTTTGTTTTGCCTTTCGCCTCCTCCCCGTTTGAAGCACCTGGGCACCCCTGGTATGAGTAGAGTGCCTTATCATTTGTGTGGGCAAATGGGGTTCTGTAAAAGCACCCTTTTCATTGCAATATAGTGAGTACAGAGATAAGGTGTCGTCTGAGCAATAAAGAATTTTCCTCACTTACCTTCTATGGAAATAATATACCGTGAAAAAGGGACTGATGATCTTCTTCTTCTTCGGGACTACGGTGCATCGAACAGAGTTTTGCAACTTGCCATGACTATACTCGTGGGGGTTTAGTATCATATCTACACACACACACACACTCGCTTTCTTCCTCCGAAGTTGCGCGGGCGGGGACCCCGCGTGGCGCAAGTGAGTGTGTGTGTGTGTGTGTGTGTGTGTGTGTGTGTGTGATTGGGTAGGGGTTGGGGGGGCGACCCATCCCCCACCAATCAATCAATCAATCAATCAATCAATCAATCAATCAATCAATCAATCAATCAATCAATCAATCAATCAATCAATCAAAAAAAAAAAAACGAAAAGCAAAAAAAACGAGAAAAGCGGGCAGTTTTTCTCACACACACACACACACACACACACACAGAGGGCAGTTTTTTTACTTTTTTTTTTCACTTTTTTTTTTCCACATGTATTCTGCCACGTGTCCGCGGCCCATTGGGCCTGACCCGTTGATCGGATTTCAACGGGAAGCCCCCGTTGTACCATTCAACGGGGATTCAACTCGGACCCCGGGGGTGTACAACGGGTACAACGGAGTTGTACAAAACCCGTTGCGAGTTGAATGGATACATAGCCAACAGCAGAGAGGAGATAGCGAGGCGGCGAGGAGGGGGGCAACGCACCGACGACCTGGGGAGCAACAGCGCGGCTGCGAGCCACGCACCGACGACGAG